ATCAAATTTAGGTGGTTCAAATACAAACGCTGCTAGTTGCAAAAGGTTCAGTTGTGATGGTCAAAAAAAGGTCATAGAAATGAAATGGTTCACATACAGCTAGTTGTGAAATCCAGGCAGGACGGAAACAAAAATGCAATGGTTCACATCAAGCTGCAAAGGGTTAACCATGAAGGGAACAAGTTGTAATTGTTCGCATGCATTTAAGCTGCCAGAGCCAACGGAAATGAATTAATGCTTCCCAATATGCAGAAATCGAATCCTTCTAGCCACGCAGGCCACGCATTGCCCTCCTGGTCCAGAGGCCACATGTTGCCCACCTCATCCACCAAGTAGATTGCCTCATCAGGCACAGGGGCTCGACCACTTCGGCAAGAGGGCGGAGCTCGCAAGACTCTATCGGTGGCAAAGGCGCCATTGCCATGTCAGCAGCAGAACCACTCATTGTCTTGGGAACTGCGAGTAAAAGCTGACCGTTGTGGGGGGCACAAAATGCTGCAGAGAAGAATTGAATCCAGATGCCAAAATTCAAACAGGCAAGTCAACGCACTGAACCAACTAATTGCACAACTTCAAGCTCTTGGTTTCCCAACAATGTCACAAGGTCATTCAGGGCGATGGTGATGCATTGACCACCTTGGCAAGGGCGTGGAGTTGATCAAACGTTTTTGCATAGACATAATTCTGGACTTGTCCAATAACATGTCAACTGTCGACTGTTTGATGGACGTGACTGCAAAATGTTTTCAAGCACATGATTCTGAAAACAATGGCCCCAGCTGAGGAAAAAACGCAATTCACTGTAACTGAGGATGCTGCCTTGATGGTGAAGATGAAGATGGATTTTCGCCTGTGACAGTGGTTATGTCCACTACAGGCCTTCCCAGGCCGTAGGATTCCCAGCCTCTCGGCCTTCCCAGGCATGGGCTTCCCAGCCCGCTGGCCTTCCCAGGCCCAAGACTTCCCAGTCCAATAGTCGTGGCCTCCCATAGAAAACTGCTATAGGTGCCATGGCCCGAACCTGGCGAATGTACCCCTATAGCTGCCCGAGCAGACAGATTAGCCCTTCCTCCTGCTCTCATACGCAAAACCTGTCACAGGAGCGCGCGTTGGAAAAAAAGACGGGACGTTTATCTAATAACCCTTGGTTTTTCAAACCCCACGTCCGGCCAACCGTGTGATCTCTTCAAGAGATTTGGTAGGGTCAGAGCTGCAAACAAGTCAGTCAAGCAACGGTAATTAAATGAAAGAGCCCTTGGAATTCCATGGCTTTGGAAGAAATCCCTCTACCCATGGATCAATTGATCCATGCTAAAGCACTATGTACAAATGCAGGTCAGTTTCAAGACACTATGTACAAAGCAGGTAAGGTTTCAAGAAATGCAATCTTCCTTGCACAAGGTTAGATTTTTTGCTCGCCCTGACCGCCCCACCCAAGTTTTAATGTAATCTTCGCATCCAGATAGATTGAATAACCATCAAGATAGTTGAATATCCATCCAGATAGATTGAATTTTAACATACATACGTCATGTTCCACAAATTGTTGCCAAAAAACAAGGGTTGCAAACAGGTAAAGCAACTGCAGTCATCTAACCAAAAAACAACTTTTCCATGGCATTCCAACATTCGACTTCAACCGCCCTCAGCGCAAATGGTTTACACCACCAACTACCTGGTAAGCCGTAAAAGTGCCAATTTTAAACATTGACACTTTTTCCCCACCTGCCAGGTGAGGGTTGTTAGATTTTATGTCAGTTGCCTCCTCCTGCCTCGTCCTCCTCCTCCTCCTCCTCTCCTCCTCTCCTCCTCGTCCTCCTCGTCCTCCTCGTCATCCTTGTCGTCCTTGTCGTCCTCGTCGTCCTCGTCGTCCTCGTCCAACTGCGACCCGCGATCCACAGTGTTCTCTGCCGGACCTCAACCACGACCATCCACGCCCAGTGTTCCCTGCCGGACCTCAACCACGACCAGCCACGCCCAGTGTTCCCTGCCGGACCTCAACCACGACCAGCCACGCCCAGTGTTCCCTGCCGGACCTCATCTGCGAGTATCCATGCCAAGTGTTCCCTGCCGGACCTCATGAGATATGCCAGATAGAATGCCAGAAGATATGCCAGATGGAATGTCAGATAGAATGCCAGAAGATATGCCAGATAAAATGCCATGAGATATGCCAGATAGAATGCCAGAAGGTATGCCAGATAAAATGTCAGATAGAATGACACAAGATATGCCAGATAGAATCCCAGAAGATTTGCCAGATAATATGCCAGATAAGATATGCCAGATAGAATGCCAGAAGATATGCCAGAACATATGCCAGAAGATATGCCAGATAGAATCCCAGAAGATTTGCCAGATAATATGCCAGAAGATATGCCAGAAGATATGCCAGATAGATGCCAGAAGATATGCCAGAAGATATGCCAGAAGATATACCAGAAGATATGCCAGATAGAATGCCAGAAGATATGTCAGAATATATGCCAGAAGATATGCCAGATAGAATGCCAGAAGATATGTCAGATAGAATGCCAGAAGATATGCCAGATAGAATGCCAGAAGATTTGCCAGATAGAATGCCAGAAGATATGTCAGATAGAATGCCAGAAGATTTGCCAGTAAGAAAATGTAAAAATGTCACGGTGGGGATCACACGAAGTAAAGTAATTTGGTAGACAATTGCGCAGACGTTGCATGTTTTCTGTTTTTTTCGTTTTTGGGGTATATGTCATGTGCGTGTTAAACTTGCATGCTGTCCGTACCAGCAATCGAACCTGATTGGGTTCAATAAATGGCCAATGGGACTCTTGTTGCTTGCAGCAATTGGTTTTTAGAAGCCAAACCCTGTCCAAAACAAGGGCGGGAAATTGCGTCGCAATGACGGAAAGCCGCACAGAACATAGTGGAAATTCGGAAAACTGTGAATTCACATTGATCAACTGATGCATTTTTTCGTTCGGTTGAAATTTTCTGCCCAAGCAAAACCCTCAAAACCTATATTTTCCGTTTTTCCCCAAACAGTGTACAGTTAGGAGTTCTTAATGCTTTCTTAAGGTGCAAACCCTGGTGTTGGATGGTGTGTCCGCCTTCCCGAGGGTCTTGTCTCCCCCTGTCTCCCCCTGTCTCCCCTTGTCTCCCATTGTCTCCCTTCTTGCTTCCCTTTGTTGGATGGTGTGTCCGCCTTCCTGAGGATCTTGCTTCCCCTTGTCTCCCATTGTCTCCCTTCTTGTTTCCATTTGTTGGATGGTATGTCCGCCTTCCCGAGGGTCTTGTCCCCCCTTGTCTCTTATTGTCTCCCTTCTTGCTTCCCTTTGTTGGATGGTGCGTCCGCCTTACCGAGGGTCTTGCCTCCCCTTGTCTCCCATTGTCTACCTTCTTGTTTCCCTTTGATGGATGGTGTCTCCGCCTTCCCGGGGATCTTGTCTACCCTTGTCTCCCATTGTAAACACCTTCTGGTTTCCTTTTGTTGGATGGTGTGTCCGCCTTCCATTGTCTCCCATTGTTCCCCTTCTTGTTTCCCTTTGTTGGATGGTGTGTCCGCCTTCCCGAGGGTCTTGTCTCCCATTGTCTCCCTTCTTGCTTCCCTTTGTTGGATGGTGTGTCCCCCTTCCCGAGGGTCTTGCTTCCCCTTGTCTCCAATCGTCTCCCTTCTTGTTTCCTTCCCTTTGTTGAATCGTGTCCCCCCCTTTCCAAGGGTCTTGCCTCCCCTTGTCTCCCATTGTCTCCCTTCTTGTTTCCCTTTGTTGGATGGTGCGCCCGCCTTCCCGAGGGTCTTGTCTCCCCTTGTCTCCCATTGTATACCCCTTGTGGTTTCCCTTTGTTGGATGGTGTGTCCGCCTTCCCGCGGGATTTCTCTCCCCTTGTCTCCCTTCTTGTCTCCCTTTGTTGGATGGTGTGTCCGCCTTCCCGAAGGTCTTGTCTCCCCTTGTCTCCAATTGTCCCCCTTCTTGCTTCCCTTTGTTGCATGGTGTGTCCGCCTTCCCGAGGGTCTTGCCTCCCCTTGTCTCCCATTGTCTCCCTTCTTGATTCCCTTTGTTGGATGGTGTGTCCGCCTTCCCGAAGGTCTTGTCTCCCCTTGTCTTCCATTGTATACCCCTTCTTGCTTCCCTTTGTTGGATGGTGTGTCCGCCTTCCCGCGGGATTTGTCTCCCCTTGTCTCCCTTCTTGCTTCCCTTTGTTGGATGGTGTGTCCGTCTTCGCGAGGTCTTGTCTCCATTGTCTTCCTTCTCGTTTCCCTTTGTTGGATGGTGTGTCCGCCTTCCCAAGGCCTTGTCTGGCTTGTCTTCCAGCTTGTCCCCCTTCTTGCTCGTCTCCCAGCTTGTCTCCCATCTTGTCTCCAAGCTTGTCCTCCCTCTTGTCTCCCAGCTTGTCTCCCAGCTTGTCTCCCTTTGTTGGATGGTGTGTCTGTCTTCCCGAGGCCTTGTCTCCCAGCTTGTCTGCCATCTTGTCGTCCAGCTCGTCTCCCAGCTCGTCTTCCTTCTTGATCTTCTTGTTTCCCTTGGTTGAATGGTGTGTCCGCCTTCCTGACCCTTCTCAGCTTGTCTTCCTTCTGGTTTCCCTTTGTTGGATGGTGTGTCCACCTTCCCGAAACCTTGTCTCCCTTGCCTCCCAGCTTGTCTTCCTTCTTGTTTCCCTTTGCTTCTCGATACCCAGTGTTGCGACAAAGCTAGCGAAACCGAAAAACAATAAACATGAAGTGGCCGGCACTTACTGCAAACATTATCACGATTCCTGCCGCTGCCATTTCATGTGTTTGACCTGTTCCTCAAAGCATTTTTCCACTCACTGTTTGGGGCTAACGGTGGTGTAATTTATCGGTGCTTGTGGGGTCAACATGGGCTACCCACCACAACATTGAAAACCAAAATTACATGTTTCCTGGTGTATGGAAAAAACGTTTCTTGATTGAAAACCAGCCCATGCCTAACATTTTGCAAAGTTTGGTTTTCAAGGATGTCTTGACCATGCTTCTCCTTGTGCAAGCCCCATAACCCGGCCTCTCTTGAATCAAATAGCGTCGCTGTCTTAGCTCCCTGCCAAGACAGGATTCTGGGCACGTGGGGCGCATATGCAAAACAAGACGGGCAACATATAGATTCAATGCGCGATGAACCAGCTGTATAGCGCAAAAATGCATGACATAAAAATAAATTTAAACGCAAAAGCCAGCGGCATGAAAAATGTCTAAGCTGCAGAAAGAGCACCGATGCAAGGCCCTGCCAGACTGCACGAAGGGAGTGCAAAATGCGAGTGGGGACACTTGACGCGCCCCACCTCTCTTTATATTCCTACTCAAACTCTAAAAGCTTGCGTTAGAATTTATGTTTGCAGCACTGTTGTGCCAAGCGTTCAGCGCACAAGGCTGTTGGAACGATGCTGGCGTCTTTTTGCCCGAGCCCTCTCTAGCAGCCAGAGCCCTTTTCTCCTTGACTGATGTTCTTGTCGTGGGCGAGCCATTGTCAACCCTTCCGCTTTCCAAACGCTACATGAATGCTGCAGTTTCCAAGCCTTGTTC